TGTGGCTTGAGCTCTTGCCACTGAAGATCAATTTAACAATACTGGTATACTGTGACCCATTTCCTTTGCCTTATTAGTTTGTGGTTTAAACTAAAGCCATTGCTCTCTTCATCCCTGTTCTCTCTAGAAATGATTGGTAGTCACGACCAGGAAAGAAGGAAAAAGACAAGAGGCACCCTCACACTATAAGGAAATCTAGACCTAAGAATAATTTTTTCTCTTTCTTCCCTCCCTTCCTGTTCCCCAAACTCAGGAACCCAAGCGTGCTACTGTAAATCAAATCAAATTACTCCTTTTCCAGAGCTTGCTCTCAGTTACAATACCCAGCTTCAGCTACCCCCAATGAACTCAGGAAACGGCCCTGCTGTTATTCAGGGTTACATTTGAATAGCGTGGGTGAGGAGGAGACAAATAATACAAAATCAAACCTTACCGATGGTGCTTCACCAATGTGAATGTGTGTTTTCTGCTTAGTTTCACAGAGTTGGCGTAGATGTAAGATCACAAGTTCATTTTCTTCCTGGTCATTTTCAGGCTTCATTTTCTGTCAGTGACAGCAAAGAAAAGATAAAAAGTTGTCTTTCAAGTAATGATTTGCTTATTTTCTCTTTCACACGTATGTGTTCTTTGAAGTTAATATACTGACACACCAAATGCCAGAGTGCACTATTAGCATCTCAAATTGGACTATTGTTTGTGTGCCTTCAAACTCCTGAGCAAAATAGGCCAAAACTTTCCATATGGAGAATGTTACAAGGAATGGAGAGGACAGAATCTTATGCTGACATGTTTTGTTTTCTGAGGTTGTCTGCCAGTGTATACCGTTACAAATGGGACAAGGTACCCAGGACCACCAAACAGGCACTCCCTTTTTTAGGCAGCCAGAGAGAAGCATAGCCTTTGGAAACCTAAATTATTGTATACTTTATTCACTTGAGTACACTTGCTTACACTTTCCTCAGAATAAGTCAAAAAACAGAGCTTCTGCAAATGTCAGACACATTCCTAATACCTGCATGTCTCACCTGCTCTTAACTCACTCCCATGTTACTTTAAAGTAGAGAAATGTTTTTAGAAATGAAGAACTAAGCTCAGAAAAAAAATGCTCTCAGCAGACTTGGGAACCAAAACTTTTCCCAACAGCAGTGTATCTATCACACGTGAGGTTAGGTTAGAGCATGCTATTTCAGTATGATGTTTGGTGGAATAATACTAAATTCCAGATCAACTACATAACAAAACAATAAAAAAAAATCTAGTCTATTTTAACATGGTCTTTTTCAAATTTGTGACAACAGTGTCTAATATATTACCTGAACACGTTCAAAAATGTCTGCTTGCTCATTATCAGTTAGTGACGACAGATGTCTTTGAATTACAAGTTTGGCCCTTGGTGGATAGAGTCCTGAGAAGAGAAAGGAACATTAAAGCTTCAAGATTCTCAAATAATCTCTCAAAAAACTTTTGTAAAAAATGATAGTAGAAGATATAAGCTTGCATTTGAGTTTATACAAGTTATCATAAGACAGCAGTATATCTGTAGTACATATGAAACAAAATACTTCAGTTTTGCTAAACTACATGGTTTTGTCTTCTTTCTTTAGCAGTAAAAACAGAACTAGAAGCAGCTAAGTGGATGGCTCCTGTGTAAAAGTTTGTGCTCCCTGCCTCACTGATGTGTTCTGTCCTAGTACCAAGAGATCACTAAGATGGAAGCCTGACAACTGTATGGGAGAGGAGGAAGACAGAAAGAGATCAGGGGATACAACTGGAGATATAACTGGAGAGATATCTCACTGGAGAGATAATGCACAAGTTACTCGGAAGTTTTCAGATGCCCTTAACTGAAAAGTTTAGATGCATTTCTACACAATGAAAGGGTAGGGTACAGGTCATACCAGAGAACTGAAGACACTTTTAAAAGAAAGAGCAGCATAAAAGCTGTAAGAATAAAAAAAAAATAATTTGTGATGTTTGATAAAGCACACATTTGCTCACAGAGCTTGTTCTAGGAAGCTACAAAAACTGTACAGGAAAACAAAACCGCCAAATCAGATGAAGATAAATGTTTTTTCTATCTAAGGCAGACACCATTCATACAGAATTGCAATCAGAACAGATAAAGATTTTTCAAAGTCATGAAAACCTGGGTTTGATTATTATAAACTTCTAGACTCTAAACAAAGCAGACGGATAAAAACAAAGGGACACTAAAATAAGTCTTTCAGTCACTAAGTACAAAGTTTATGAAACTACTATTATGGTACTCAAGTTGTTACCCTAGAAGAGACTTTATTTTGACACTGGATACTTATCCCAGGCTTGTAAGTACCCATATTCAAAATACTTACACTGCCTTATACAGCAGCTTCTATAGTTCTTCTCTGGCAGAAAACTTTCACAGTTAAGCTTTAATCACTTCTAAATATCTGTTGTTAAACCTGGAAAATACCAGTCAGAACCAAAGAGAATTTCACTCCACTAAGATTTTATACTCTGCTTTTCATCCACCAGAGGGAGGTGGAGGAGTGACTTTTAATGAATGGGAGAACTGGCAATTATCAGCACCATTATCACCAGACCAGAAGATACAAGACTAGTGTAACATATTCGCTTTCGTTGCATACAACAGTTTGCAAGGAGACACAGTGGAGTGACTATAAAAATAGAACCCTACTACTAATTAAAAAAAAAAAAAAATAAAATCTAACTTGTAAGATGGTTTTACATGTGTTCTGACATAACTCACTTCCAGAGAAACTAAAAAGGTTTGTGTATTCATATTTGAAGCCATAGAGTTGCCTTAACTTTCTTTATTAGATATTAATCTCCTATCTTAATAGTTTATTTCCCATAATAGGGCTAGGCTTTGAAGTGTGTAAGAGAATAAACACAAAGAAGGGAAAAATAACCCCATACAGGAAAGAACGAACACATGTGAAAGCAAGACCCTTTTTGATCACAACTGTCTTTTTATGACCCATCTTGAAAGCATGCATCTTCAGAAAAAAAAACTGAAGCTGAATGTGTGGGGATTTTCTGCTCTGCTTAACATGTAAGAGAGGTATGGGTATGAAGGGGTTTGTATTTATAACACAAGATATATATTATATTCAGTTGCAATATTATTACTTCTATCACCTCCACTTGATTACAGAAAGTGCAAAGTGATGGTAAGGATTGCTTACTGGGTTACTTTTCCCTCTGTTCTTACACTGTTTAACATGGTTGACATAATTAAAATTAACAGATATAGTAAATTTCTTCTGGAATAATCAGAAAAACACAATTAGAAAACAAACTCCACTCCTACCTTCAATTCTTTCACAAAGTTTGTGCAATGAATGCATAGGGCAGGCTTCACAAAGTTTAATCTGCGTTTTGGCATTTTGCAGAGCTGCAGCAGTGCTAAAGGCTTGTTTCAGGGTAAGCATTACTTCATCAACCTAAAGAGGAGGGAGGGAAAAGACACTATATAAACAAAAATGCATGCCACGTACATCAAAATAGATTTATAAATCACATAATAGGTGCTTTACAATCAAAAAAACAGTTTGCTGTCTTCTAAAGAGGTAACAGTTATATTCCCAGCTTTTCTGACATTTCTGTGGGTGCTCACCATCTTCAAGTTCAGCCACACAGCATAATTTTGAGTATCTAACTGCAGCTACTCAAGCTGACTGGACAGGCAGCCGCTGTTTTGAGAAGCTGCAAGTGGGAATTTTTGGCTTGAATATAAGCTGGCTAAATAAAAAGCATTAATTTATTTTTCTTTAGCTTCAAGTGTCTCCTGTAAACTGCACATGCTTGCTATCAATGACTTTCCTCCCACCACTGTACCATTTTAGCACAAAATCCCACAGATCCATTCTGCTGGCACACAGGAGCTTCCCATAGCCATTTGTTTTTCCTCAGCCTAATAGGCTGGCTACCATCTTCATTCCAACGACCAACTTATCTTTAAGTACTGCTGGCCTGCCTTGCAGTCTGCCCTGATCTTTCCTCTGCCACCACCACAAATACAGCAATGTTATGTTCCCACACACCAGCATGGGAAAAGCTCAACTTTTATGCAAGAAAGGTCAGAAGTGACAGTGTTTCTCCACACTCATCCAAATATACTCCCAAACCTTATGTATAAAGGACTTAAGGGTTCCCCGTCTGTCTTTTAGGGGAACAGAATGCTTATTAAAAGCTGTTTAATTGAGTCTTTGTATTAGCATGGAAAGCAGACAACAACAGCTTGACAATCTTAGGAAAGAAATCAGTATTCTACATCAGAATCAAGTCCATACCCTTACGTGGTGCTTTTTTTATGAGTAGGAAGAAGAAAGTTGAAATATTTGAGACCAAAATCATGCAGTCTAACATTGAAAACAGACATACTTTTTTGAGGGTCTGTCACTTACGGAAATTTGAATTAGTTATTTTCCCAATATGTTTATAATAATAGAATGAGTCACAGAATGGTTTGGGTTGGAAGGGACCTTAAAGACCATCTAGTTTCAACCGCCCTGCCATGGGCAGGGACACCCTCCACTAGACCAGGTTGCTCAAAGCCTCATCCAGCCTGGCCTTGAACACCTCCAGGGATGGGGCATCCACAGCTTCCCTGGGCAACCTGTTCCAGTGCCTCATCACCCTCACAGTGAAAAGATTTCTTCCTCATATCTAATCTAAATCTACCCTCTCTCAGATTAAAACCGTTACCCCTTGTCATATCACTACACTCCCTGATAAGGAGTCCCTCCCCATCTCTCCTGTAGGCCCCCTTTAAGTACTGGAAGGCTGCTCTAAGGTGTCCTTGGAACCTTCTCTTCCCCAGGCTGAACAACCCCAATTCTCTCAGCCTGTCCTCACAGGGGAGGTGCTCCAGCCTTATGACCATCTTTGTAGCTCTCCTCTGAACTTGCTCCAACAGGTCCACCAGGGTTGGGGTGGGATTTTTGGTTTGGGCTTGTTTTTTTGTTTTTTTTTTTTCTTCAAAAAACCCCCACAGTTTTAAGTACCAGCAGTAATTCCAGGGTGCTCGCTCTTCTTAGCAATAAAGCAGGGCACTGAACAGTGAATATCCGTCCTGCAATATAGACTGGTAATTTTTAAGAGTTGGCAACAATGCCTCTCAAATGGAAGATCCACAGAACAGTACTAAACATATGGATTATGACTTCAGTAAGATCACGAGAAGAGTAGCACAGATTGTAGTTAGGTTTAGAGCAAATATACACAAGACTACCAACATCACCTGCCTGGTAGCACAGAATCTGGAAAGCATTAGGTTTTACAGCTCTGCCCAGTCACAATCAAACTGTCACTGGGGTCTAAGCGATTACCTCTGAAAGTAGCTTGGGAATGTTCATTTCATGTTGCAATGTGGGCATATCCATACATATCAGTACTAGAGTATGTGAAGAGGTTCATAAATATGTGGTTTCTTTATACACCACACTTTAAGTCTTTGAATTATGCATGGTCAGATGTATCAATAGATCAGAAGTAACATTTTCTGTTAGTACAAAGACAGAGCTGATTTCATAACAAGCTCCCATTTTGACAAGTGCAGACTCACCTACCATTGTACATTGAGGGCTGTTAGCTGTTTGAAGTTTTATTGACATAAATCTATTCACTCTCAAGCTAGTCAATGCATTAACAAATTACATTTTTAGCTAGCTAGAACAGTGATTTTTAAGGTTAGCTGAGAGTTAGCAGCTGTTAGCACAGCCATCAGGAACTAATGTTTCAGAATAGAAACCAACTCATTTTAAAGGGTCAGAGCTTTCCAATAAAAATGTAGTAGCCAAAATTATATCCTGTACACATCTCACATTATTAAGCCACCTGTATCAGTTACATCAATGGCACATGGAACTTCAATTGATTAATACATACTTTACCAAATGTCCAATGGGCTTTTTTACAGTTACATGCATATTATGGTTTTCTTCTTCCCTGATCAGATGCTGTTATTTTCTCCTCCTGAAGAACAAAACAGACTACAGGGAAAATGCTAAAGCCACATGCAGGATCTGGCCAGTAGCTTAAACCCTACCCTGAAAAGTATGTTTGGGTTTTATCATCAGCTTTGCTACTGATTCATTACATGTAATAACATGTTTAATGGGGAACCAAGTGTCTCAGCAATTAGAAATGCAAGAGTTGCAATCAAATACAGAGCGCAAATACACTCACAGTCTGCATGTGTGAACTTATCCATCTGGATTTTTTTCTATTTGTTATTGATATATGCATCAGCAGAGTACCAGGATACAGCTATATATGAACAGAACATATGCATTTCCTATTGCCTATTTTCATATTCACAACTGAGGTCTCACACCTGAGAAGAGATGACAACTCAGGCTTAGCTGACACAGCACAATAACAGAGACTCCCAAGGTTTAGGAAATGTCTCAGACATCCTCCAATGGAGAGATTTGGACCATGAATAAATACTTACCAGAGACTCACTTGCACACTGGAACACATAGCAAACATACTGGCTTAACCCAGGTTCAACAGATTCCCGGCAAATGAAGCCAAAGTGATCAACATGTTTTATACCCTAAAATAGTTTAAAAACAGCATTAGTGGACTATTTTATAAACAGGTTTAGTTTCCACAGTGATCCTAAAAGTAGCTATCAGACTCCAGCACTTGCCAACACAAAAATTTGTGAAACTATAAGCCCATTCTCCTAATGATCTATTTTACAACTGCAACAACTACCTTTTAAATTGATTTTTGTATTTAACAGTTAAATAAAGCTCTTCATGCAATCAAAACAAAATTTACACAGTGGTAGACCTGGAACTGATTTTTGTCCGTTAGGAAAACTGTATTTTCAGGGAAGCGGGAAAAAAAAAAAAAAAAAAGAGTCTTAGGTTGTATTTGGAATTGCCTCTGCAGTGAAAACTTGATGTAATGAGCCCATGCTAAAACATGGGACTGAAGTACCATCAAAGCAGTAACAGATCTTCGCTTTTCTGTAATACGAGTTAGGACTACACCAAAAAGAGCAAGGAATGAGTGGTGACATGCTAAATTCCAATCAAATTCTTATATAAATTGAGACTGAGTTATATACCAGAAGTTTCAAGACTTACTACACATTATGACAATATTTGCTTTCAAGATCTTAGCCTAACTGCTTGACAAGGAACATTGCCTTGCAAAAAACAGCACTGAGAAGATCAAAGAGAGCTCCTTCCTAAGAAGCACTATATTCCCAGTCTCAATTCATGGAACATGAATCACTGTTGTTAAAGCTTTCGCCAATGTTTTTATCATGTGAGTATGGTAATAGTAGATTTTCTCCAAAAGAAAGCCTAATCCCTCATGTTCAAATACAACAGAAAGCAGAACTTGGTTGCTTGGATCCATCTCCAAAGAAAACACCTAAATCATAAAAGAGTGGAGGAGGCAAAACAACTTTCTTGTCACTACAGAAAACACTCTAGACAAAATTGGTAATGCACTACGTGACAGACTGAACATATTGTCCCTACAAACTGCAGTTTTTAAAAACAAAGTTCCAAAAGTTATATTTGTACTACTTAAATAAAACTTAACAAAGGTGCAGAGGGCATCTAAGATGGCATAAATGGCATTAGTTTATCACAGTCCACACTAATCTGACTTAATTGAACCCTTTTTCCTGTGACAAGTGAAGTCTTCAAAAGCATAAAAGGAAAAAGAACAGCTGTACACACATATGTTTATCCATGTAACAGTGAAGTGTTGCCCTCTGTTTTGCAAGGAAACCATATTTACTCAAGGTGGTTCGGTGAGATGCCAGTTCCCTCACTGATGACAGTGCCTGAACTAGTCTACTCCTGATTTCTGAGTCTCAACAGGAGAACATTTGTGGGTGAGAGGGATGTTCCACTTCACCACTGAAGCATAAATAGCACAGTACGTTCCTCAATTAACAGTACCTCCATCACATTTCTTTAAGAGGGTGGCCGGACTTGTCATGCCAAAAGAGCAAAGTTTTTTGTTGTTCTGGGTTCTCTCAAGGTCAGTAAGGCTGCAACAAGAAAACTTCTACAGCTGTCTGCAGAAGTTTAGACAGCACACACAGGGGTTTATCATCAATTACATTTGCTGCTTTGACAATTATATGGAGTGAGGATAACGAATTGTATGCAGCAGATTAACCATACTTAAGCTACAGAATAAAAATACCTTTATTAGACCAAACTAAAAGAATCCAGAATGCAAGCTGAAGAGAACACCTCCTTTTCATTGTTGGTAAAGCTTAGAAGGACAAACATTCACAAGCTGCAGTCTCACAATACGCAGTAAATCACTGCCCTATAAATCCACAACAGAGAAGCCCTGTGGCTAGCATTGAGTTCTTAGAAGTACTGATGAGGTTTATGCAACCAAATCCTTTGTCTTGAACAAATTAATGTTTCATTTCTATTGAACAGAGAAAAAAAACCCTGACTTCTCTAAGGTAGCTGTTTTGCATTTAAAAAAACCCAAAACACAAAATAACAAAACCCTCTCAGTATTGTTAGTGCCTGTTTGAGTTATTCAAGCCTGCAGAATAACAAAAGCTCCAAATGAAAGTGAAGAGGTGGAATGAAAAACTCCACCTCCAAAACCCAACACACAGCATTACCTAACATTATTTACTGTACTCACAGTTATTTTACTGAAAGAGAGCTAGGCCTTGAAGGTCTGCCATGGTCTTTCTGGTCTCCACCAAGCTTTCAAGTCAGCAGAATAAAGGCTGTCCCCGTTTAGGACTGTTTTGTTTGACTATTACCAGCATGTACAGCCAACCCACACGACCAGTATGTAAAGCTGAAGTGTCACTTTTATTCAGCTCAGTGTACCCACAAAGCAGGAGAAGACTCAAACCGTCTGCAAATTTTGCTTTCCATACCACTCCTTTAAGAATTAATTTGGTTTGTACTTATTACCAAGCTTTTAACACATGATTAATTGATTATACTGTCCCATTCTATATTTGCATTTGCCTTTTTTCTCTACCAAGAGCAATACAAATTGTGGTTGAACAGCAGACGGAACTTAAGGGCCTGGACCTCTAGTTGGTAGCTCAAGACTCCACTTGAGTTACAAATACCAAACAGTTTTTAATTTGTATTAGCATTGCTAGCAAGCACAGTCATGCAAGAACAGATTTGTTGTTAGCATTAAAATGAAAGCACTTGTGGGGGAAATACAGGTTTAGAGAATGCAAGGAAGTATACTTTAAACCAGAATAATAATGTTTAAGGAGGCCTGAAGGGATGCATATGCACAGAGCACAAAAGAAGGTAATAAAATAAGACCTCAGAACAGAAAGTGCTAGAAGTAACAGGTGCTGAACAACAGCAAGATAGAAAGCTGAATCCCTCACCTGGCTTTTAACTTTATAATACATATTTATTTATTACTGGACAGAGCTAGATTCATCTATTGCCACATTCTCCAGAAGAAATGATGCAGGTGAACTGACGTTTTTCTGGAGAGCTGATTTTATGCTCTCCTCCTTTCATTCCAGAGGCTTTCAGGAGCTCAGCTGCTCAGAAACAGCACAATCAGAGCATCCTAACTGGAGATTAAGCTACTCCAAAAACTATATCCAATGGTCTCCCAAAGCGGAACAGTTTCTACTTTGTTTTCTGGCCAATGATCAAAGTTGCCACTACCACAGCTCTGACAGGTTATTTTGCACTCATCTTTTCTACTTAAGCTCCCTGTGAATGACACTGCATTATTTTTGTGCAGTATCTACTTGAAACTGCTACCATACAACTCAAAGCCCGGATCTGAGTAACACTCACTCTTGAAAAGGCAACTCTGTACATCAAGTTTGTTGCAAGTGTTCATAAAGCAATCACAGTTTCATATCCAATTTCTTCAGCTGTACTTCCCAAAGAAGTCACTGTATAAAACTTCATGCAGGATTTGTAAACACATTAGTCGCAATTGCTCAAAATTCCAACACCCTCACCCCCTTTTTAAAAATTAAATTATAAATTTTTAAAATTAATTTTTAAATGAAGGAGCCAAGACAGAAACTTACTTTCATTCAGGGTAATACAGACAGAAGAAACTATTTAAAAATGGCCTTTGACACTGAATAAAGGAAAACAGCACAGAATGCTGAAAAAGATGTTTATGTTTCTTTTTTCTGCTGCCTATAGACCAGCAAGGCAACCCAGCTGAAGAACAAATAACTTAATTTTTTCTCCTGATGATCTACATGTTATAAATGCTTACCTGAGAACATGAGGAGATATCTTTGAAATTCTTTTCAAGCACAACAGATTTGGTGTCCGGACTGATGAGGTTAACTTCAAACCTTCCAACCTGGGGAGTGAGAAGGGTATGTGAAAAAATAAGTTTATGACTGTCTTGGAGGCACAATATTAACAGCAACAAAAATGTCACAATCTAGCCCCTTCTTGTTCACCCAGAGTACCTTCAGCACAACCGCTTAC